CAGGAGGCTCCAAACAGCTGTGCCAGGCTCTGGCATCAGCTTCATATCCACGCATGCAGGCATGCCTCGGAGTGGGTGGTGAGGGAGGGGCCTGAGGCAGTGCAAGCCTGGTCTCTCCCCCGCTCCTGGCACAGAGGTGATGAGCCCAGTGCAGCTCTTTGTAGTCAGCCCACTACTTGCTGCAGTTCCCAGGCTGGCTACAAACAGCTGCACTGGGCTCATCACTACCATGCTGGGAGCGGGGGAGAGACCGGGCTTGTGCTGCCTCAGGCCCTGCCCTCACTGCCCGCTCTGAGGTGCTCCTGCACAAGCCAGTGCAGAGCTGATGCCAGAGCCCAGCACAGCTGTTTGGAGCCTCCTGGCTGCAGCTGGCCGTGGCTCTGGGGAGCTGCTGCCAGCTAGGATCCCAGGCCGCTCCCAGGTCTAGACTGATAGTGAGATGGAAGATTAAATATATCCCAGTTGATTTTCATTTCACTTTAATCACAGCTTCAGTGTTTTTGTCTTTCAGAATTTCCTTTTTAACTCCTGGGCTCCAAAATTTCCTTGGGAAAAAATTCTCACTGCAGGTGATCTGGGTAATTCATTGAATGCAGTGTGAGCTACAGATATTGTGGAAGTGGGGGAAGAAAGCACAGGAAACTGAGCTCTAGTAGTTCAAATACTTTTGGATCAGTAGGTGTTCCTATTCTAGGAACAATTCATAGGATGTATGCATCCCTGGAGTCCTCAAAATAAAAAAAGGCCTAAGTAGGGGCTTTTTTAGCAGTGCTTGGAATTTTGCTGTGTTCTAAAATGAAGTAAATTTCACTGTTCCTAAAAACCAATGTATAAGAAAGAAGTAATTATTACATGTACAACTTCTTGCAGTTACAATTTCTTACCTGGATCAGGTTCTATTAAGGTTTCACTGACTCCAATATCTTTCTGATCCACTAAGCAGGGATTGATGCTTGAAGTTGAGTTGACTGATGACATTGCAGTCAGTGTTGTCTCATACTTGTAACTGAAAACATTCAATGTTACGTTTAGCAGTGATACTTCTGCACCAGTCAGAGGGATGTGGGAATATACTTTAGCAGAGCACATGAAAAATTATGTGACTAGTGATCATATTGGTCTATTTGATATAGTAAACAGGCATTGGGCATGTCTACATGCTCATTAATGCACTTTTGCTAATGCACATTAAATTTAGTATCTCCATTCTGAGGGCGTGTGTAGATGAAATGGGGGTCCTAAATTGAAGTGGTGGGTTTTTAAACCCACCGCTTCAATTCAGGGCGAAGTGAATCCCTGTGTCATGCACACACTCCACACTTACCTGCCTCTCTGACAGCCGAGAAGGGAGGGTGAGCTGCTGGTGGATGAAACGGTGCCTGGGCTGCAGGAGGGACTCGTGCTTCCCTCCATGGCAGCTCAAACGGTCCGGGGGGACACAGCAGCTGCAGAGGGAAGCACTGGGACCCTGTGCAACTCAGGCAGGCAGGCTTTGGAGGTGTGGGGGGGGGGGGCAGGAATCAGTCTTACCACTTTTTTTGGGTGGAGCCTGACTTCCCTGGTTGCTGCCAGACTGCCTACAGGGCTTTCTGTATAGCTGCAGAGCTGCTCAGAGGAGTTTTAGTTTGCTGTGCCCCAAGTCATTTAAGGTGCTTTACTCAGCTGAATTTCCTACAGCAGCTGGAATTAATGTGCAATATGCTGCTGAGGTGTGCTAACACTGACACCATTAGAGTAGTGCAAAAGCATTTACCCCTTGTTTCGTCTACACATGGCCTAAGGTAGTAGAAAAAGGCACATTAGCCTATTTTAATGCACATTAGCAAAAGCGCATTTTTTTGTGACACTTTAAAGTGCCTTAAAATAGGCTAATGCATATTCAAGTGCAGGTGTAGACATGTCTATTTGTGATATATAAGCATCCTTGCATCACATAAATTAATACTTTGAGGGAAATTTTAAATATTAAAAAGAGGGCTAGCTTAGAAGTTTGAAAGCAATCAAGAAAATGAGAAAACCAGAGAGTGAATGAAAGTAAAACCAAGTATGACACACACAATTCAGACACAATGGGCATGTCTATAATACTACCATGGCAAACCCAAGAGCCAAGCCTTATCATTCTAGTTTAGTGCAGGACAAAGGCCAGGAATTTGGTGGTGCAGCTGGTTTGGAAGTAATAAGAAGTGTGCCCAAGACAAAGGAGCATGAGAAATGCCCTGAGCTCATGTCCAGAGCCAATACTAAATCAGAATGGCTGCCTAAATTATGGACTTTGGCACATGCTAAGTGGGACTGAGTGGGAAGAGTATGCCTCTAACAGTGTGCTTTCTGTCTACACAGGGATATCACTATTCAGTAGTAACTATTCTAGCATACAAAGTGGATCAAGTGGAATCAAAGGCACTCTTAGTTCTGAATGAGGGCATCCACATGCATAGCTAATGCAGAACAGATTATTTATTGCACTTCAAATTCACACTCTCCTTGTGCAATAGAATAGTAGAACCAGAGTTATGTTTCTAACCTCTCTCCCCCTCCCCAACCAAAGATGCAAGGTTTGCGAGGTACCTGGAGGTATTCAGAACCACAGCAAATAACTGCATGGGACTGCTGAAGTGCTCTAGCTGTTTGCTGTGGCTTTTATTTCAAAGGATGCCACGTGTCTGACCAGGTGCAGAGAAGTAGTGTTCTTTGAAGGAAAAAGATTTAGCAAGCAGGTGCCTAGCTTGTTCTTAATTTGTCTACCTACTGTGAACTAAACAGATTCAAAATGACCCAGATATAGATGATGTGGGTTGTACTCTAGTTTCTTGTGTAGAAAAGCCCTTGGTTATTTTTTAATTATAGTCACATACACCATCTGCTTTTAGGTAATGGAAACTATGAACCTGATGCTACTACTGAATTACAGAACTTTTAGAAAGATAGTCTACAGAAACTTTTCTTTTGTCTTTTAGATCAGTGGTCTCCAAACTTTTTTGATCGCTCACCCCTATCTAGATAAATAGAAGTTCTAATATTTTCTTACCGCACCCCAATGGATCATCTTGCACACCCCCTGGGGTGCGTGCACCCCACTTTGGAGACCACTGTTTTAGATGATAAACCCATGAAACATCCAGTTCCAGGGGTGATCAATCCCAGGACCCAATCCTAGTGCATGTGAGATAGGAAGAGGTGGCACTAGGCTCCTGGGATCCAAACTTTGATTGTAGGATTGGTGCCAGGCTCCCTGGGCCCAGAACCTGGAGGACATGTGTATGTGTCACCTGACCCTGGCATGTGGGGCTCATTCTGGCCCGCAGGCCAGCACCGTGCCACTTATCTGGCCTGTAGGGCCAAAAGGTTGAGCACCATTGTTCTATTGCATTTAATATATTTGTCATTGTATCAAAGATATTGCTGAAAACAATGTCACATGTAGGTGAAATGTAGTGCTTTTCTGAACCCAGGTAAGATGTGCTTGTTAGATGATCTGTTTCAATAGTTATGACAGCTTTTATTAGAAAGAGCATCATGGATAGAAGTTTGGGACTAATTCTCTTCATTTGAAACATCTTAGGGCATGTCCAGATGAGCCCACACATGTCTCTTGCAGCATCTCAGACCCCTTTGAGATGCTGCCAGAGGCACATGCGGGAACAGGAACACATTCCCCCCACTGCAAGTTTGCAGCATGGGGGCAAAATTAGACCCCTGGATATCCAGGGGTAAAAAAAAAAAAAGTCAGGGAACAGTCCCAGACTGTGTGCTGAGGCAACCAGAGGCTGGGTCCTCCACAGAGACACTCCGGTAGCAGCCAGAGCATCTCTGTGGTTGGCCCTCACCCTGCTGCTGAAGCATGATGCTTGCCTGTGCAGGGCAGGCAGTGTGCCAGCTGCAAGGAGCTGGACCCAGGCTCCAGTGCAGGTAAGTAGGGAGTCAGAGGGGCTGGAGGAAGGGACCATGCCACCCTCTACCAGGCTGCTGCAGTGGGTAGAGGGTGCAGGGAACTCTCAGGGATGCTTCAGCAGTCTAGCTGGCACAAGGGTTAGTGTCCCCAGATACCACTGACTGGGCCCTATAAGCTCCTGAGAGTGAGTAGCCCTGGGCTACTTGCCAGGGCAGCTTTTTGTACTGATGGGGCTGAGACAGGGCAGCTTTTTATACTACTGGGGACAGCACAGGTGCTGGCCCTGTGCTGTAGTTCCCCCTGGCTGCAGATCCAGGAAGAGCTAGGCAAGGTTATTTTGCCCCAAGTGGCACAATTTGCCCCACACCAATGTGTATGTCTGGGCACGTGTGCTGAGGCAAAAAGCCCCGGCTCAAATTTGCACCATGTCTATTTGAGTTGCTGCAAAAGCACATGTCTGCATGTGTGGATGGACCCTTAGAGTATAAATAGATGGCACCAAATGAAGCAGATCAACTGTGCCAGAAACTGTCTCAGCACAGCTGATTGGCTTCATTGGATGAAACACAAAGTATTTGTTGTCTCACCCATTGAACCTGCAGGACAATGGGCAATATGTTCCCTGCTTGCAGAAACAGACCCCAGAGAATTTCCAGGGCATATCTCTGAACATGGGGAAAATTGGCCCTAGTGCCAGTCAGTCAATCAGCCATGGAATGTCAATGCACACCTGGGCAGTCCCAAACAGAGGAACCCCAGCAGGTGGTCCTGAGGCTATTGAAGCCTGATCCTGCATGCCTTGGGAGCACCTGGGAATTCCTGTACATGCAAGATCAGGCCCCTGAAGCCCTGAGAATTCAGCCCCCCACCAGGCAGGCAGAATGTGGGCAGCTCTGGGCTGCCTATGGTCTCCCACCTTAAAGCAAATGGATGTTGGCCGAAAATAGCAGCACAAATCATACCACTTACGTTGTGTCCACAAATTTGTCATGTGACAAGAGGCATGGACATCTGTTTTCTTGGTTTTTCTTTCTGTTTTTTATACCTTTTTTTTACACCCTTATCAAAGAGATAAAGGATTCTTTATGTGAGTGGTGACTCTGCCTGGATAGAGGTGGGCTGACAAGTGGCCATATTTGATAATTACCTCCTCCTTCAAGGCACTGAAATTTCTTAGATTCCATTTCTTATGGCCATGTGCAGACCCTGTTTGGTATGTTGAATGACTGGCCCCTAATTTTCCATTTTACCAGCATTTGCAATAACTACCAGCAGTCTTTCGAAATAATGCATATAGTGTCTCAGAGAGCCCAGCCAAAAGACAATGGCTTTAGTTCAACAAAATGGAAGAAGAAGTATAGAGTTACAACACTATGGTAGCTTAATTAGTCATAGTTAAGACTTACTATCCCATGAAGAAATGAGGCATTGCTGTTAAAATACTTCCAGCAGACATAATGAAACATCCAAGAGCAATTGCTTTTGGTCTGTGAATTTTGGCTCCATAGTAACTTACAAATGCAATCACCAACAAATTACCTAAAAAAGAAAAAAAATCATTACTAGATGCTTTGCACTGTGTCTGCTTTGAATAATTTACTGTATGTTACGGAAAGCCAATTACCCATCTCAAAACTTCCATCAATTAAGCCAGCTATAGAGGAGGGAATGTCAAATCTTCTTTCTATCTGTGTGATGGAACTTTTCATAATGGTTCCAGATAAGGTTTTACTTAAGTAGGTGAATGACAAAGCAGCCAAAAACACCTGAGGAAAAAATAAGATAGAAAGTGGGAGGCAGAGGAGGAGAAATTAATAATACCCAAATCAAGTAAGTCTGAATCCACGTACAGCTATTTGTATAAATTAAATCTTAATTTATTTACTTCCATTAATTGAACACCAATTATTGCACATGTAGTAAAGACATTAATCCAGCAAAGAGCTCTTCTTAGCTTTCAGAAGTGCTTTTCCTGTACTCGAGTCTCAATGCCGGAAAGGTATATAAGGTCAGCCTCTGAATTACAGAGCCACTTTCCTTGTTTGTGCTTAAGGCTGCCATTATCTGCTTACTATTCAGAAAGCTCGGCTTGCTTTGTTTTGTTGAACAAAGACTTCCCATGATAGTAGTCCCCTACACTAGAGAATTTTTAAAAAGCTACCAAAACTATTGGGGGCTACCTACCATAGTGAAATCCCATAATCAATTGTTAGGCTACAACAAGTGCTGAGGTCTAGCTGTGGGGAGAAGACACCATAAGTCCTCTAAGTGCTGCTGGAATACAAATAGAAGTCCTGGTCAGAGGAGACTTATTGAAACTAGCCCACAGTCTATAGAATCACAATTGTGTTTTATTAGGGTTACTTCTTACTCATCAAGTCTTTTTGTCCCTCTTCAATTTATAAGGTGTTTGGTACCAAAACATGAGAATGAAATGTAGGTTTTATAGCACTCCTGTGTTGGCAAACCTTCTGCTACTTATCAGTCTGGATATACTTTAAAGTATCTGGATTATATTTACTATACATGCCCCTTTTTGTAAAGGGCACTTTAGAATTTGACTTTATATAGTCTTAAAAAATAGCATTTGAATACTGTAATCCAGGGCTGGCCTTATATCTCTCTGCACCAATGGGCCAGGAGTAGGTAAATACCATTTCTGAAAGCTTGAGAGGAGCTCTTTTCAGGATTGAGGTCTTTATTGTAGGTGCATACACATACATATATATGTGTATGTATGTGTGTGTATGTATATGTGTGTGTGTGTATACACACACACACACACACACACACACACACACACACATCTATCTATCTATCTATCTATACACACCTGCCCCCCTTCCCCCCACACATATAGAGTATGTACCAATATTTGGGGAGGTTAGATCAAGTTTCAAATGTTCACTTGATCTAAGGTAAGTTGAGATGGGGAGGCTAGCAGGGGACGGGCTTGGGGGGATTGAGGGAGGCAAACAGGGTCTGCAGTGGAGATCAGGGGGCAACTGGGTTCCACAGGGTGGGGTTTAGGGGGACAAGCAAGGTCTGGAGTGGGGATCATGGGATCAGTAGTGTTAATGGGGTCTGCAGAGGAGCTGGACTGGTCTGTAGCGGGAAGGATTGGGGGCCAAGTAGGGTCTGAAGGAGGGATCAAGGGGGAAAGCAGGGTCCATCGGGGGTTGCTGGGGTCTGGGAGGGTTTGGCAAGATCAGGAGGCTAGTGGCATTTTCAGAGGGCTTTAGGGAATAGGGAGGTCCTGACCCCCTGGGACCAGGGGCCATTTTCTGTCCTCTAACCCCCCCACCCAGTGAACCAACACTCCCTGTCCTGGCCTCCTCTTCCCCCCAGCCTGACTTACTTCCTTGGCTCCCAGCACCAGCAAACACCAGTAAAGCCAGCACCAGGAGTGACTTGTAGCATGGGTGGGTTTGGTGAGCCGGGGGGCAGCTGGCTGGTCTATGGTGGGACATGTCTGTTTGCAAGTGGGGTGAGAGGCCAGGGGGCTAAAATAGCCAGGTGCTGAGGAGGAGGTAGGGAAAGCTGAGTCCCAGGCCTGGGGCTTGTGGCTGGGCTTTCCCAGGTGCACTGGGAATCTGTACAGAAGTTCAATTACAGCAGCATCGCTGGACCCAATCTAAGTTAGACTGTCTGAGGTAGGGTTAACTTAGATCAGGTCAGCCATTTTTAGACCAATCTAACTATCCTGAACTTCTGTGCAGTTCAAGTGTAAGGTCTGCACCTGGACAAGCTAAGTTAGCCACAAGATTGGGTAGACATTTTTAACATGCTCTAACCTCCCCTTAACCTCCCCAAATGTCTGTATGTACTTATACTCTGCTTCGGCATCATATGCTTGCACATTGCAATTCTTGCAAGCAAAGCTTTTTCGGAAGACGCAGCAATCCAGGGGTGCTTAAATATTACCCAGATATTTCAACACAACAGTTTTCTATGTAATCCCAAAACAAACAGACTTGTTGTCCACAGGGTAAAAGTTAAAATATTTTTTATAACTGATCATTAGGTGAGCAAATAAAAGGAACTGGGTTTTGACCTTTTTGATATAACTGACTGCAACATTTGAGAAATAAGAAAATCCTAGGAGAAAATGTGTAAAAGAAGTTGTCTGCTATTTTTATTCAAGTTTGGTTTGGTTTAGAAATTGAATGGGAAAAGTTAATGAGAACAGATAGATGGTTCATATTGACTGGGTATATTAATGCCAACAATTCTAGGAGAACATTTTTCCTTCATTTTCTGCAGTATTTTGTTAGTTGTACATCTGGCCTGACGTGTGAATCTGAACTGTGGCTTGGCATATCTGTCTCTCATTCATACTTTACTGCATCATTTTCAATTTCCCCCTTTGGATAGGCAATCAGAAATTAGGTGTTGCCATACCATAGTTTAAGTACATACTGAGATTACTTGAGTTCTGTCTATTGTTTATTTTAATTTTAACTGCTATAGCATTCACACTTTGAAATAAGTTAATAGAAATCATCATCTCTGAAACTGTGAGCTTGGTCCCATGAGTTTTACTGGAATCTAAGACTCTATTACAGTAGGTGTACAGAGAGAAAAATTGATTCAGATAAATGTTAATCTCTACCCAATATGTGTAAGGTAAACTATTTTAGATATTTGAGAGAATTGAATTAACTTATTTATTTTACAATTATAAACTGCATTTTTATAGACCCCCAAAATCTCTCTGTCTATATTCCTTTTGTATTTTGAAGAACACAACACATACTATAAGTGTTTAACAAATAACAGCAATAGTCATTTTGCTCTCCTGGGTGAGACATAAGGAAGTGGAAGTGGATAGAGTGGCGTGGAATTTTGAGGTTGTGAAATATTATTTGAGGAGTCTTTTTTTTTCATACCTTGTGGATTCACTATAAGCTGCCCAGAGCCGCCTTTGGATATTGAGGCATATAAACCTAATCAATCAATCAGTAAATAATAACCTTTAAACCAGTGCAACAGGAAGTTTTCTTTTTGACTGGTGGTTGGCTGATTGCTCCATCATCCAGAGGTTGGGTAGGTTCTGCTTCCTGGATTGAGTCATCAACATTATCTGATCCAATTTCCATTTTCATAATTTCTGTTTTTATACTTGATTACCTGTTTCAAATAAGAACTGTGAAAAATTATAATGCACGTAAAAACAAGAGGAATCAAAAGGAGCTGGTTGAATTTTTCCTCAATTAGAACATTTTTTTGGTTATTTCCATCATTATTGTCAAAGGTAAATCTTTACACTGGAAAGTTTCATTTTCAATAACTCTTCAAATACATTTTCTTTCTTTTTTTTCTAAATTTGAAATACTCTGTCCTGTGTTGTCACTTCAGAAAAAAAAGTTGATTTTTGGGCTTATAGTAACTTTTCATTTCAAATTTTAGTAAATTTGAAAAAAAAGACTAAAAAGAAATACATTTGAAATTGAAATATGACACTTTACTTGACATGACCATTTTTTAATTACTTATTTGTAAAATATTGTTTATCTTTTGACTTTTCATGCCAGCAGATTCACACACTAGTTCCAGCATGGATGGAGCACTTTGCAGACATGAAGGAGAGGGCCACACTTCCCACTTCTCAAACAGAATAGGTTATTATTAATTAAAAACTTGTCATGTGCATGAGGTTTAATTCATAGTAGGGGCCAAACATTTCATATTGTACTTTCCTTGTTTTCTTTTCTACGTGGTATGTGTTAGAGCTGGCAAGTAACAAATAAACTATTCTAATATAATAAAGTCTGTCTGTCTGTGTCCGTCTGTCTGTAATGCTTTTGGGCAATTGCACATGTGCCACTGAGAGGGCTGGTGGCAATTGGCTGTGGGGGCTCCCACCACCTCAGTCAGGGAGGCAGGAGCCCTACTGCTCAGTGGGAAGAGGCAGAGGTGGAGGGCAGGTGCGGGGGAGGGAGGAGCTGCCACCACCACCACTTCAGGGAGAGGGAAGCTCTGCTGCTCCATGGGAGGAGGTGGAGGTGGGTGGGCGAGCAGGGGGGAGGCCACCACTGCTGCCACCTCAGGTGGAGGGAAGCTCTGCTGCTCTGCAGGAGGTGGCAGAGGTGGAGGTGGGCAGGTGTGGGGGAGGAAGGAGCTGCCATCACCGCCTCAGGTAGAGGGAAGCCCCAATGCTCCACAGAAGGAGGTGGAAGTGGGCAGAGGGGGAGGGAGCTGAGGCCACCAATGCCTCAAGTAGAGGGTTGCCCCGTTGCTCCGTAGGAGGAGGCTGAGGTGGGTGGGCAGGGGGGGGGGAGGGAGCTGCCACTGCCTCAGGCAAAGGGAAGACCCGCTGCTCCATGGGAGGAAGCAGAGGCAGCTGGGCGGGTGGGGAGGGAGCCACTGCCACTTCCCTTTACCAGCTCGGGCAGAGGAACAACCCACTGCTCTGCGGCAGGAGTCAGAGGTGGGCAGGTGGGCAGAGGGAAGGGAGCTGCCACCATCACCATCTCAGGCAGAGGGAAGTCCTGCTGCTTCATGGGAGGAGGTGGAGGTGGGTGTTAGTGGGCTGGGGGGAAGGAGCCGTCACTGAGGCTGCTGCTGGTGCTTCCTCAGGTGGAGGGAAGCCCTGCTGCTGTGCAGAAGGAGGCAGAGATGGGCAGAGGGGTGGGAGCTGCCATGCTGGAGGCTGGAGGAGGCAGCAGCGGCGGTGGAGGGACTGTTTACATGACCAGCCCAGAAGGGTCTGCAGGTGGGGAGGGGCATGTAAACACTCCCTTAAACACTCCAGCATTCATGACAGGCAACCATTTTTCTCCCTCCAAGTATTTTAAAATGTGCATATATTTATAAACCATAAAAATAGAAAATTTTTACAGAAAGAAAACACTTGCTGGCACATGTCATTTCAGTTAGAAAGTAAAGAAGGACCCTAGCTGCAGTCAGAAACCTGAAGAAAAGCCATTTCAGAGCCCCAGTCAGACAGTGAATCTATTAAAAGATACACAAGCTCAGAAATGACCCAAGCATTAAACTTCATAGTCCAGAATAAGAGCACAAAAATCCTTCAACACCACAGTCAACTCATTTCTCCCTTCTCACTACATGTGTAATTTGAGTATGAGGACAAAAATAAGTCTAGATAAAAAGGTTTCCACATATAAAAGCTGGAACATTTAGAAAGGTGGATGAACTTTCTCCCAGCTGGAAAAAATCTAGTAGCATTGGCAAATATTGTTATCACAGGTCATACCACAGAGCAGTGAGGGCAACATTTTCAAAAGGGTTTGATATTGTACCAGTTCAAGACGCATGTGGTTTATGACTCAAGACCCTGTGGTAAGTAGAAGTCAACTGGCATTAGCTTAGACTTTAATGAAAAAGTGGGATGATGTCAGGGTTAGCCTCCCCTTGCCAGCACAGACCAAGAGCAAGTACAACACAGTTACTGGGTGCATCTACACAAGATGTTTACTGCACAGTAGCCTAATAGCACTGCGCAGTAGTGTGCTGGTCAAAAACCATGCTAATATGCTACTGCACAGTGTTATTAGACTATTGTACATTAAGTGTCACAAAAAAACCATGTGCCAGTGTTACTGCACAGTAGATCTAGTTACTGCGCATAAAGTTAGTACTTTATTAAGCAAGTACTAAACTAAATTCACAGTAACTACTGTGTATTAATGAACAGGTAGATGCACCCACTGAGGAGCAGATATTATGAAGTAAAGCCCTGTTCCTTTTGCCTTCTGTTAAATTGCACATTCACACCCTTTAAGGCACGTCTACATGTGCATTAATGTGGGGGGTAACAGCTATGAGAGCCATTCTAATTAAAGCACTGCAGCATCTCCTGCATCAGCATCCCCACACTTAAAAATGGCATTTGATGAGCTTTAGTTCAAGTGCCCCCACTGTCATTTTTAAGCATGGGGACGCTGATACACAAGACACAGGAGGCTGCTGGAGTGCAGCATTTGCTGTGCTCCAGCAGACTCAGTTAATCACTTCTGCTCTGATACACTGGAATTGCAGAGTGTTGGAGCAGCCTCAATACTCATGTATAGGTGCCCTCCATTGCGAGGTACTAACAAAATGTGCGCTAACCTGTCTTAATGCTCATTAAATAAAGAGCACGGTTTTAAAGTGATGCTTAATATGCATTAGCCTATTTTAATGCACATTAACGAAATAGCATGGTTTTTATTAGTGACACTTTAGTGCACATTAAAATAGGCTCATGTGCATTAAAGTGCATGTGTACATGTGCCCTTTGTTTCTCTGGCTCAGGAACTTAGCAGTTAAATGCTTATGGAGACCCAGGCTCCAATTGTTTATCTGTGAATTGTAAATATGCTAAAAACTGTGAGATGCATGAATGATAGCAATTAATGCTAAGTGGGTTTTTTACAAGCTGATGGAGTCATTGTTGGCAATCCCTCAATTTATGGATGGTCCCTATCACGGCTCATTGATGAACCTTAAAGTGACTTAAGAGTCCCATCCCTGAGCCACAGATGTATCCACAGAAATTGCAGGTCTTTCTGCAGGGGCCAGTAGGTTATGGATTGGGATTCCTCTCCTTTTCTTTCCTCCGTTCTCTCTAATTTGTTTTGAGGGCAAAACTTTTTATCTTGAAATAAGCTGTTGCTTAGTTGAGGCAAGGTGATGTAACAAGACTTTCTAAGTGTCTGGATGTAGGGCAAGAAAGAGAAAAAGTTGAAATAAAATGGGTATAGACATGGGAGACTGAGCAAAGGTATTAGGACGAAAATTATGAAGCTAAATTTTGGATTGAAGTGGCTTGGGTGCATGCCATAGCCACAACAAGCTATGAAAAAAAATGAAATGCAAATTTTTGCAGGGATTAATATAAATTAAAACTTTTCTCTTCCTAAAATATAGCATCCAGCAAAGTCAGCCTCAGGTGTGGGCAGTATGGCCAACTGCCCAGGGTGCTGTGGTGAGGGGGTGCCACATGCACACACACACACACACACACACCCAGCCCCACAAGTCAGTGACACTGCTGCACACAGAGGCGGGCAGGCAGGCAGGGGCACATGGCACTGCCTGGCCAGGCTCCTCCTGAGCAGCAGCTGGAGGCAATGATGTGGGCTGGGCAGTATGGGTGGCTCTGCCTCTGCTCTGGACTGTGCCCTATACCCCTGTCTGCAGCAGTTCCACTGACTTGGGCAGTTGAGGGGGGTGCACCAAAATACAAGTTCACCCAGGACATCGTTTTCCCTAAGGCTGGCTCGGGCATCCAGTTTGCTATTTACAGCACATTTATTACCTTAGCCCCTTCCCTTTAAACTTGATTCTTATTTAGAGTTAAATAGGCCTACTCTTTTTTCAATACTGTCAGGGTTTTTTCTTCTGCAAAAACATCAGGATAAAATTTTCCAAAGTAATGCATAATTCTCAAGGCTTAAACTGAGATCCTTTGTAGGGGCTTTATTTTCAGAGAGTCCATGTGTTCCATCTGTGCCCAAAGCCACCAATTTGATAAATTTTGGCCTTCGTATATATATGCACAGGCCTTTTCCATTCATGAGAATAGAGATGTACAAAAATGGAATAAACAGGTTTCATTAGTAGTTATAACATGTCAGATGTAGAAAGACACATGCCTATAAAGTATTTTATCATCAGTCATAATTTAGAACTGTTTTGTCCTAGATAACCCTTCTTACTAGAAATTCAACCCAAAATTCAAATCAAAAGTGAATGCATGCCATCTACATCAATATAATGGGCCAGATCATCAGAGAACGAATGTTGTTCCATTGTTGCCAATAAATTGAATTATAGCAGCTCAGAGTCCAGCTCAGTGCAATATATTGCTGTTATCCATACCCATGCTTCAGTACATTTATGGTTCTCTCCTCCCCACCTTCAATAACATTCACAAGTGTTAGGTGTACTTAAAGGCAAAGCATAGAAGTATCTTCAATGGATTTGCACAAGAATGTTTTAATTTGTTGGGTCTTCATAAATACTGTTCTTTAGTGGCCCATAGTTGCTGCATTTCCAGTAACAGTAACAGAAGAGGAGGAGAACAAACATAGTTAAGTTTGGCATAAACATACAGCCAGGTGAATGAATGACAAGTTTACTAAAACAACAGTTCTAAACTGGCAGCAGATACGACCGGGAAAAGGAGGCCAGCATGATTCCACTGGTATGCTAACTGGCTTTTATGGATCTCTGTCTATAGTCTTCTTTCCCATCATATCTATGTTGTGACTTGATCAATAGGGGTCTGCAAAATGGGCCCTATTCAATTTGGATTTGGCCCAAATCAGGGACAGTGATTCGGTTTGTTGATTCGATTCAGTTGAATCTGAAGATTTGGTGCTGATTCAGAGAATCAGCTATTCAGCCATAGACACAGCTTTAAAAGGTTTTCTACATATCTCGAGGTACCAGGTGCGGCTCATGAACACTGCAATGCTGATGTGGATAGAGCATCCCACAGAAGTGTGGGGAGCTCCCAAGCATGCTAGGCAGCAGACACAGAAGTAGACCAGAAGCACTTCCAGTCCACTTCTGGGTCCGCCAGAGAGCATGCAGGGGAGCCCCCACATTTCCTCAAGCTCAGTGACTGGTGACTCCTGGGTCTGTGGGGGGGCACCTGGGGTCCCCCCCGTGGCTGATTGTCAAGCTGGGGGGCACAGGGGGGGTCTCCTGTGTGCTCAGCAGCGAACCCAGAAGTGGACCGAAACTGCTTCTGGTCCACTTCTGGGTCTGCCGCTGAGCATGGTGGGGAGCCCCCCACACTTCTGTGGGACACTCCATGCGCCCCAGCATCGCAGCCTTCATGAACCCCCTGCTATCTAGAGGTATGTAGAAAAAACATTTAAAGCTGTGTCTATGTCTGAATCGCCGAATCTTTCCAAATCTCTGTATTGATTAAGAGGCTTCCGATCTGATTCGGAGAGATTAAAGGGTTCTCTGATTTGATTTGCGTTCGGAGATTCGGCCACCAAATCAGGTCAGATCTCTGCCGAATTGAATCAAGGACAGAAGCTTCTCACACCCCTATTGAATAACTGCATGTATCATTTAAGACAGCAAGGCATACCTTTTGGGCAGGTGTGCCACAAATTAGTCCTGCCACTGATTCTCTTCCCCTGCTTGATCTGCTGCTCTGCTTTCTGCTCCCTGTTCTGTGTTCCCTTCCTGATGTGCTGCCCTGCTTTCTACTTTCAGATTTCTGTCCCATCTGCTGCTGCGCTGCCTGTCCCCTCCCACACACACAGGGTGCCTGTGCCACAGAGGTTGGCCACCCCTGGTTTAAGAAATGAAAAAGTGTAAGCTCATTATTGTGTTCAGTAATTGAGTCTAGGGAGGATAAGTTTTCAGAGTGCAATGCAAGATTCAGGGTGACATGATTAGTGAATAACACAGAGCAGAAGACAGCAATGTTATTCTGGCAGCAAGCTGAAATGACCCAGCTCAGGTTTGAGCCAGGTCACTGCCTTTAGGACTGGACCAGCACTACTGCTTATCCTCACTGCCTAGCAACAGTACAGCATGGGTGAAACTCCCTGCTTCTTGGTCAAGGTATTGTACAAGCAATCTCTAGCTGCCTGAGTCCTGCCCCCCCCCCCCCCCCCCCCCCCCCCCCCCCCCCCCCCCCCCCCCCCCCCCCCCCCCAATCCAGATGCAGTACAGAGTGAACGAATCCCCCCACTGCTAAGGCCCCCTGGCTCTGAGCTGGAACTAATGGATCCATGGGCCATAGGTTGCCAGCGCATAATGCAGACCAGCTGTTTGTGAGAGTTAGGAGCTTCTACACCACATTAAACACTCAGTGCAAGGCTAGCCAAAACCAAAGAATGACAGGAACCCCTGAACAAAGTGCCAGTCACAGGTGTCCGCATCACTTAAAATCACTTTTGAGGACTGATAAGGTATCATAAGATTTGCATAAGCTCTGTACTTCCAGGTGCTTGGGCTGGAATCCATCTCCTAATGAGTAGTGCAAGAACATCCAGAAATTCAGTTTGGTTTCCCACTCACTTGTTACTAACTAATTACAACAGATAAGAAATGCATGGCTACGAATTTAGATTGGATAACGTTTAATTGTTTTACAAAGATTGAGATAGTACAACTTGTTACAAATTAGCAAGAAGAAGAGATACTGCTACCTCTATATCAATACTTATGCTTTCACACTTTTAATGTTAACCACTTTTAAGGTTTTGAATCATGTTTTCTGAATTAGTCATCTTTGAAGGGCAGGACATCATCATATGAAATATAATGCATCATAGTCATATCCCATTCAGAATTCATTGGACCTATGTTGATTTATACCAGTGGAGGTCTATACCAGCATTTTTATTTGATTTTTGAATATATTAAAAATAAAAAATATCTTTTAATTTTTCAGCTCACATAATATGAAAAATAATTTATACATTTTAATTACTTCAAAGTACTATGTAGGGCTATAGTGTTATATATTTCATACTTGCATTACCATTGTACTTATATTATTACTGTACTAGTGCTTGTATTGCTTATGAGGTATATACTGCAGCATACTGAACCATCCTGCACTATACTTTGCATATATATGGCTTCTAAATTGTCACCACTGTTTTCACATGCCTATATTGTTTGAGAATATCCATGTGCACATCTGTATACCCAAAATGGTTATTGTTAAGCTTTCACAGGTAGTATTTATCATAAAGGATATTCCTAATGCCACCCTAAGTTTCTTAACTTAAAAAAATAAAAAATGATAACAGTTATCATTATACTGAAGTGGGGATTTTATATACAGATTTATCATAAATCTTAAAAAGAAAGCAAAAATCACATTTAAAATGTGCCTACCTAGATTATGTATGCAGCAGAAAAGCAGCTATCCCATCACACAAACTGTTGAAAAACTGAGCAATCTCTCTTGTGTTCTGATATTTATCAGCAGAATCATTAACTTTCCAATATGGCCAGTTTCCTAGGCAAATAGAAATTAGAGGTTAGGTACACTGCTTTAATCCTCTTATCTTCTCTCAGGGCTGCCCTCTCTTAAGTGCCCCAAATTATGTGTGTGTGTACCGGATTAGTTTGGTAGAAAAATGTTCAGAATTAAATTGGTAGAATGAGTTTTGGGCAAAACAAATGCGAGTCTCTTGGTTTTAATGCATGCAAGATATGTCTACATTACAACTACTCATGACACCAGAATCAAATGTCATCACTCCTTTTAGGTTGTGTAGCCCTTAATAATGTTGTGCCTGGTTTTGGGGATTTTTTTAACCTGCTTCAGTCAACTATTCCATAATTAATAACGTTGACATTTAGATTATTACAATTAGGCTTTGTATTTGATATCGCATTTAGTGAGCAGAGACAATTCACAATTCTTAGGGCTATTGTTTCAGGGTCTAAACCTCATCAATTTAGACACCCTTCCTAATTAGTTCTACTTGCATCATTTTAAAACAGAACTCCAGGTTCTTTCAGATGAGATTCACCTTCTAGCAAAAGACAACATCTTGCCCCCCTCAGCAATGCTGTAGAGCAGTTAGAAATATGATGTTAATGATAGGAGGAAACAAATAATCAGACTTGAATAACTTATTTTTATCAAGTGTGTTCCCCACTGTTGTAGGCAACCACATCATATAGTCCCTTTAATAAACATGCCTTGCCATAAAACCAACAAGTGCCTTCCCACTTCTCTTTCTGAAACTGACCTAAAATGTCACTGATGCCAGTTATCTAGTTGTTCTCTTTGGCATTTACACCTTGAACATAATTATAACAAGTAATCATATCCCCTCTCAATCTTAAGTTTTTGGGGCGGCTAAACAAGTCCAGCTCTTTTCATCTCTATTCATAAGGTTCTCCATTTTTGTAATCATCCTAGTAAGCTTTTTCTTTACTTGTTTCCCTCTGAATTCATATTCAATGTTTGTGGATAACCCTAATTTTACACAGTATTTCAGAGGATGTCTCACCAAGGACTTGCACAGTTACATTAATATTTTCCTATTTCAGCTGGAAAAGTTTCATAGGATACCTCCTAGAATGGTCTTTGCTGTTTTCAGAGTTACATCACATTGGACATTTCTAGTCATTCTGCAGTTGACTAATACACCTAGATCCTTTCTTCCTTCAAGCATTTCCAACTGATTGGCCCTCATCTTACTGCAGAAGTTCTTGGTATTAGACCCTTTCTGCATGATCTTACACTTCATAGTAGTAAATTTCATTCCATTTCTCTTAGGATCTCTAGGTAATTCACTTCATTCTGCATGGTGTCTTGAAAATGCTGTTTAATTTGGTATTGTCAGCAAATTTAAAAATTGAGGGTTGGAAGCTTTCACAATATAGCTTGAAGGATGAAGGAGGTACTGAACTGTTGATTTTCTCTCAAAAATTAAACCCTGGCTACTTTCATCCAAGTCTGAGCTGTTTGCAAATTCTTCTGACCTGGGCCATGACTAGGGTGACTTCCTGAAAGGTCATCCTAGAGCACTGGTCACCAAACAGCCTCTTTCGGTAGATCTTGAAGCCTCTTGGAGTCAATCCAAGGCTGGGTAGCTGAGTGCCCATGTGCATGCACATGCATGTCCCCAGCCCAGCAGGTCAGTCCATGTGGGAGGGAAGGGGCAGGGGCTAGATTGAGGCCCCCATGGTGAGGGATAGTGCTGCAGAGGCAGGAGCAGGGGTAAGCTGAGTTGGGCCCCATCTGGGTGGGATTTACCTGCTGGGGAGGCACACCCCCAAATATTTTTTTCTTCCTCAGCCTTGATCTGCCCCCCCCTTCCCTCCCCACAGACTTACTTGCTGGGTGGGGAGGCGGGGAGGGTGGTAGCGGCACATGGTAGATCTTGGGTTGCTTTTAAATGTCAAAGGTGATCTCCTACTTAAAAAGGTTGAAGACCACTGTCCCAAAGGAAAAATTTTCTTTGTCTGCAAACTTTTTCTTCTGCAAAAACATCAGGATAACACATGCCCATAAAGTATTTTATCATCAGTCATCATTTAGAACCACTGTGTCCTAGATAGCCCTTCTTACTAGAAATTCAACCCAGGTTTGAACTGAGATCCTGTGGAGGGGCTTTATTTTCAGAGAGTACATGTGTTCCATCTGTGCCCAGAACCACCAATCAGTTTGATAAATGTTGGCCTTCATATATATATATATGCACAGGTCTTTTCCATTCATGAGAGCAGAGAGGTACAAAAATGGAAGAAACAGGTTTCATTAGTAGTTATAACATGTCAGATGTAGACAAACACATTCCCGTAAAGTATTTTATCATCAATCATCATTTAGAACCATTGTGTCCTAGATAGCCCTTCTTACTAGAAATTCAACCCAAAATTCAAATCAAAAGTGCTGTGCCCCCTGCCTGTTGATTTCCAGATAGAAGATGAGCTAATTTTCATACCAGGCCCAAAACACAAGCCTGGCCATGTAGAATTCTTCAATGAAGCCCAAAGTTGTTATCATAGAAAGCAGACTGATAAATTTTGTTCTTTCCCCATTGAATTTAGAGCCTGATTCAGAAAACACACTTAATCAAGTCAATTGAAATCAGTGGATTAAAACCTGCATTCACAGTTAATACAGAGAGTTAAAGCATGCACTAAAAATTAAAACTTGGGCAAAAACTCCTGGTCCACGTAACTGGTATAGTTGTCTTACAATAGATGTGCTTTTTCCTTTTTCCAAGGGTGTCTTTAATGTAATGCAGGCATTTATTTATCCCAGTGGGATCACACAAGGAGCAATAGAGCAATCATCTTTATTGTATGAACAAAAGGCTCAACGCAATGCTGTTCAAACATAACAGCAGGGAGCATCCTACCACAAGAGAAACATAATGTAGAATAGCTCCACTGGCTGGAAAGAGTGCAGGTGCATGCTCACACATACACACCTGACTCAGTACATAACACCCTTCCCACAGATAATGCCAGCCTTAAAATACTGAGGTCAGATGGTGACTCCCCAGATTATCCAATTCAGGGGTTGGAGTTGTCTCACTAGAGATGCCAGCAGGCTCTTTTGGCTTTTCCTGAGTTGCTTTAGCAACCGCAGTATTCCATAGATCTGGAACAACAACTGGTGCATACATAAGAAATGGTCTTGCTGGCTATATGATGTCTTCTGTAGATGGCTCATCATCTGAAATTCAACCTCACATCTGATCAATATGTCAGCAGAGTGCCTTGTCATCTAGAGACTTAGCCTTGTATGAAACCAGTCCTGTAGCTTCATGGATCTATTTCAGACATCCACTGTGACTCATTTGCAGAGTTTTGGATGTGCACAGGATTTTTTTGGTTGAAGGTCCTCACAGGGGAAGTGGCCCATTACAGATGGACCTGGGCTGAGTGGCCACACCAGGGTAGGGCCTAGGTGCTGCAAGCTCAATTTCCCTAATTTTGTATCTCACCTGCTACAACTTGGTGCAACTATAAAGGATATCAGGACATGGTACCTGATCATATGGGATTTGTTGAGACTGGTGCAGGTCAAGGTGTCTGAGAGTCTTCTGTGGTCAACAGCATCCAGGCCATGTAGGAAAAGGAATAAATCAATATAACTCAAACAATAGTGTCCATGCTGCTTCAGACCTTGCCTCAGCCCAGTAGCATAACACAGCTGCCTTTCTCCAGGCAGTCAGGGCTCTTCAGAGTTTGCCCCCTGATATGAGCCTAATCCAAGTGGGCTGGCCCATCTCAAGCCAAGCCCTTCAGGTAGCCTGGGACCATGGTTATCACAAACCCCTCTGGGGCCCCTAAAGCTACCTGACCTCCAGCAGCTGTGTGACAGTCTGTGGGGGACAGCCACTGTTGAGTTGGTCTTTGAGCACAGGTCCTTGGCTCTGCTAGTGGAGGGATGTGATGTGGGCCAGTGCCCATGCCATGTTCTCCCCATTCTAAGGCAAGTGCTGCCAGAGGGGCATATCAGCAATTGCAGCTCCAGGGCCCTAGGCCACACCAAATGTGCCAGCCACCTGCCTTTTTATCAGGCTGAGTCCCAGGCCCCTGTAGAGCTTGACTTTTGGTTCTCACTCTGGCCTGGGGAACGGGCCTGTGGAGAGCACACTGCCTGCCAGCTGCCTGTCTCACCCAGAGAACAGGGGCAGGGAAGAGTATGCTGTCAGCCCACGGGCTCACTGCTCTTTTTCTGAGCCAAGAGGGAGTATGCTGCCTACAGAGCGCTCTGGCAGTCATCACCCCGGTAAGTACAGGGCTCAACCAGGTCCCTGCTATACCCATCTTGGAGAGAACTGGATTTCTTGTTTGGTGCTTGACCATTGAGTCTCAGTGGAATCAAGCCAAGTAAGTCTTCAGTCAATGGTTCAACCAATAGTTCTGCAGAGCTTTGACTTGTTGCTGTCCATAGAGTTGCTGTTATAGTACAAAATAGTTAATCCTAGGTTCCAATCAGCATCAATAATATGCTTCAATGCATCTTTAGTAGTTTGAACCATCTGCTTGGCATGGCCATGGAATGATGGATGGAACAATGTAGATGTGGTGTGATAGATAAGATTCCTGTCCTTGGACTTCTGAATTCTTCAGAAGTAAATTCTGTACCATTATCAGACATAACAGAATGCAGAAGACCATGTATCTCAAGGAGTTTCCATACAACCTGGATTATGGTGCATAATGTCATTGATGAACCTCAGCTACATATGTTGAAATCCTTTAGTTTGGCAGATGATCATACTGGTTGAAATGGAGCCATCTATTGTTTCAGAAGTCAGTGCAAAGGGATTTTTTAGTAGTGAGAGTATTTCATTTTATGACTTGTCACTAGGTTTGGCTACAGATGTGAGTGAGTGAACAAATTCAAAATCCTGCAACCCAAAAGCCTGCCAACAAACACTGTATGTTTCTGGTTAGCCTCAATAATCCAATTGATTTCC